CTCCAAGAAGTAAGATGGAGAGGTTTGGTGTTCATCCAATAAAGAAATAGAATCCCACGGGAGAATCGGAAAATCGGAGTCTGGATCGATGAACCACAACGTCTCTGAAGAGGACGCTCTAGTGTGGTCCTAGCCATGTGAAGGGGAATTTGTAAAATGTAACTCCAAGAGGTAGAGAGAGAAGAGAGAGAAGGGATAATATCTCACATGCAAACATTAATAACAAGCATAAATATCATAATAATCGGAACAAACCATTTGAATCATCCGCAGAATGTCTAGGTAGTTACTGAAAAACTATCAGTCATAAGTAGTAGCAGTAGAATAACAGAACAGCTAAGGATAATAAACTAACGCCATGAAGATCAGATGAATACATTTCCAACAAGATGTTCTACTGTGAACAGCCTTCTTGAGCTTTCGAAATCTGGCCACCAGTGACTGTAAAATACAGCCGCTAAATTCTTAGCCTTAATAGCACGCCATCTAGGTAGTTTTCCATCTGAGTTTGTCACCTATCGTATATGGGAGTGGGGGGGGGGGGCAATGCTTGATTCTATAGGTATGTCTCAGAAACCATCTGAGGGTTTAGAGTTTCGAGTATCTGTCTTGTGAAGTAATGAAATGAGAATAGGAGGAACTCTTAATGGACTACTATTTGATTTTTTGCATGTACTGCCAATATATACGACTACTAGTCGCGCGTTTTTGCAAAGGTTTGGGGGCGTAGTGCTGTTTTTCATTCGTTAATTCCTCGATAAAATCAGGAGGGAAGTATCTATGATAGTGAAAGAGAGTGGTTGAACCTTGAACGAATGCAATAAGTTGGCCCGTTTGGTACCTTTGGCGCCAAACACGATCCTTCTTCGAATAGTCACCGAATCGAAATGGGGAGGGAATCGCTGATGGTGACTTATTCTTTGAGCTCTCAAAATAAGATCGATATTGGATTGTAGAGGTCATGAGAACAACACCGATGTTGGTAGCTAGCCCAGCTATTTCTGAACGATCAATCGTGGAAAAAACATATATAAGATTTTTGAAGGGGATGCCATGATCCCCTCCCCATTCAGTTGTCAGGCTGGCAATTTCAGTGAATAATTATGTTCCCATCTGCAATACAACCATGCAGCGATTATGTGAAAAATCCTCATTGATCTCAACAGACCCCGTTTTCAAGAGGTTCAGCATTCAGATTCAAGAGTTTTCTTTCATTCAGTATTCAAGAAGTCATGGATGCAGCGACTAAAAAACCACTGTTGATTTGTATCAGTCAAATTCGTCAAGGTTCGAGTGATGGACACTCACAAGACTATTGTCATGACTGCTATACACTGATTTGAAGGCCCAGTTCAGTTAAAAATGGTTTTTTAGATTTTCCTTTAAGAAGATCTGTGTCCTCAAGAATAGGCCAAAGGACGCTGCCGGGGGACAGAACAACAGTCAAGATAGGGTCCACAAAGCCGGCTTAGCCGACGTACTCAGATGAGACTGACGGGTTGTGAAGCGTTGCGCAAGCACCATTCGCACCGGGACCCACACCTTGCACGCAGGCAACGTTTGCACCAGCTATATGCAAGGGAGCGCGCATGCGAATAGCTAGTCAAACTACACCTTCCACGCAGCTTTTCTGTAGCATTTTCTTCCAACTCCTAATTTAATTCTTTTTTTGAAGCCTTACATTTCTCTATATACACCGATTTTCGCTTTACATCGCCATTTTTGTACTTCGAAATATCACTTCCATTACTCGTTCATAACTAGCTAGCCCAGAATTAACCTAAACTGTGTCTTCAACTGGTTTATAACCCTTCTGTCGTCCTGATGTATCAAATCTGGGCGGTGCAAGACTCTTCCCGAACCCTCTGTTCAATCAGCTGAGCCGTATTCTTGAGAATTCCTTTTTCTGTCAACATTCTGGCTCAAACTGAGTGGCATATCATGATCCAATGTTTCTATGGCTTCATATGGCCGGTGGAAGTTTCTAGTGAAAGTAATGGTGCATTAAACCATATGACCGACTTTCGGCTTCCTCCGTGATGGGAAATCCGTTGTATGTCAGTCAACAAATTCAGATAATCCGACCCCATAACCCTGATGTAAGCAGGATAAATGAATGGTTACGGTAGTGAGCAACAAGGTCATGTCCGCGCCATGACTCTCACACGAAACTTTCAATGTCAATGGAGTCTGGATAGGAATTCAAATTCACAAAGGATCGTACGAGTGTATAGATGAAAGTAATCAGGACGGTTGTGGGTAAGCTTCGGATTGTTTAAGGTATCTAAAATCCTAGGGCATCGCCGGGATACCAGATTCATGCCTATTCTCGTCGCCATGCTCCCCGCTAACTTTCCCTGTCCCCGCCCCTAACTCATATCAACAACCACCCGTGTACCGGTATAGTTAATGACGGCACGCATGATGAACGAACAGATTATCGTCCTCACACCCCCGCTTGGATCCGGCCCCTCACAAACACACCCAAACCATCATACAGGTGTTATTCGTACGACTATCCATTTATCTTAGCCATTGTTTTTTTTTCTCGAATTCCACTTACTAGTACAGGTTTTAGTAACTTTTTGTCAAGTCTAGGTGAAAGTAATAGGTTACTGGATCAACCGGACAGGCCATCAGATGATTGCGCTGCACTTTGTTGCATAGGCCTAAAAACAAGGTCACAGCCCCTGTTAGAACATACCTCCGCCCTTTTCCGGCCTGAAAGTCTGTCGGAGAGAAGCCGGGAAAAGTCAATCAACTTGATGCTTGACTTTCAATTTTTCAACTTTCAATTCCAAGCGCTTTACTATCCCAGTAGTTTTCCTACTGAAGTCAGGTGTTTTTTTTAAAAACATTACCTTTTAATTACTCGTGCTTGACCTCCTTCTTCTTTTCGAGTCCATCCAGCGTAGACAGCATCACTTTTAAGTTAAATAATCTAAGGGGAACAATTCAGAAATCCCATACATCAGATTTCATTCAGCCAATTGAACGAGTTGTTTGTTTTTTGTATTCGAGTCAGGCTTGGGCTTTGAGCCCCTGGAAAAAAGCTTTCTACCGAGAGGATGCATTCTTTTTATTGGAGTTATCTTCTGGTGTTACCAGTAGCACCGACTAATTTCTAGAAGGACAGTGATATTTCATTGTAGAATGCGATTTCTTTGGATGTACTGCTGGGACCTTTCCGGTGTCCAAGAACTTCAGAGGGGATATGCGAGAGTGAAGCATATGTAGCGGAGTATGGTTCTGATAATAGCTCATTTTATCCATGCAGAGTTTTTCAAAGTCGTCGACTCCACTAGACAGTGCTACCAGATTCTTGTAATTTCAATAGAGGAAAGTGCTTGCTGCTGCCATTTTCGGAACTATCAAGTCAATGCGCAGGTCCGCATGGATTCGATTGGGTGATTGATCCATAATGGAGGTAGAGTACGTGGCAACTCCAAGTAAGGAGCTCATTTCATCTTTGAGGCTCTAAGGGATAACACGGCGCCCGGAAAGCGCAATTATGGGTGCGAGTCCTGTCCTAGGCCCGGTCCTAGTTTTGCCCATAACTCACCAACCGTTTGAGATTGGTACAGACGTACGGTAGGCAGTCGTTTTCAGTGCATTCCCTCTGTTCAATTCTCAAGTTTCCATCGAATCTTCGTTTTTCTCCAGACACTGACAGAATCCTATGAAATGGTTCTTCAGCCGGACATTTCCGCCCAACTTAGATTCCAATAGCTCCAGTGGTCCAAGTAAACCGGAAGAAAAGCGAAAATTGGAAGGATGTGTTGAATACGGGATTTGCTGATTCTGCATTCTGCTTGAGATGATCTTAACGAGATGTATAGGCTCGGTTTTGCGCTGGCACTCATCATGACCTCATTTTAGCGTTATGTATTTATTTGGATATCGCTACGTATTGAACCGGATGCGGTCTGTGTCGAAAATCACGACACTTCCTTCCCTTTCGCATTTTTCCTCGTATATATCGTGCTGGTTATGCAAAAGTACTTCCATAGTCTATACGCTACTCGAATAGCCGTCGATGTCAACCGGAAAGAAACAAGCGATTGAGTGCTAAATTGCCCCTTCCATGCGTAACGTTCAGACCTCAATTATCGTCATCTATCTTACTTCTGGCAGGCATGAAACGTAAAAGGCATTTCTGTTCCTTACAATTAGGTATTCGAAGGGTATTTTTGAGAAGCTTTCAATCATTTGCTCACCTGCTTCTTAGGTGGCTATTTGCAGAGCTCTTATGGCTCAAAAGCTCCATTGAAGGAGAATTCCAAGGTAGCAATCTGTTAAATGGGTCCGCCATTGTCAAAGTACGTTTCAATCTCAGATTCCGCCTTCGCTGAAGAATCAATAGTGAGGCAAAATTGTTAGTTTGAAGTAGTTTGTCAGGAATAACGTTTCTCAGCACTTTATATGCCATACTACCTTCATAAATTACAAGTAATCCCCATATTAAAAACAGGGAGCGGGACGGGGACAGGGAGGGAATAAGGTAGTGGTTTTGCACTGCACTCACCAATCCATCATCAGAAATTCGCGATTCGCGATAACAGTCGGGGTCTATGTAATACTTGTAATACTATAAGTGAGGCTAACAATAGCAGAGCCAACGAGCTGAATCGTTCCTAGGTCTAAAAATTCTTTTTTCTAAGGATTTTTTTTGAAAACGATATTTTTTTCTAAATATCGAACTTGAGTTAACCATCGAAAATGAGTGTTCTGAATATTGTAGCTCCCAATGCTAGAGCAAGTCCATTGCTATCAATAAATTCTCATATTACCCATTTTTGGTTCGATCGAGCGCCAATTTTTCTCCGCCGATTTTTCATTTCACAGGCTGTGTGAATTGCTTTCCTCAGTACTTGTTCGACTCCTTGGACCTCTCTAGACCTAAACAACCCTAATCCAACAAAAAAACCTCACTTTGATATTGTCCATCCAAATGCAAAACTTTTTAAAGAGTGAGAAATCTGCTCCTACTGTTTCCCCAAATGGGATCGTCTGAGTTGCCTCAGGATTGTCTTGAGGTATTACTGCCTTTGTAAGTTCAACAATTTGTGAATTTTGATTAGAATGTGAATTTATAAAACTACCTCTGCGTATATTAAGAGATGTTTCCTGTATTCGTTGTCTTATTTTGTTTTTTGTAGTAGCCTGGTTGTGTTCCCTACGGATTTTTCTAACACAAGTGTTTTTTTGCGCGGAACGATTGCTCCGGCTTTGAAAATAGACTTTGAAGCAAACAAACAAGTAAACGAGTATGTGTATTAATAGGTGTTATGTTGTGCGTTATTGTTGTTGTTTTGGCGTCGCTCCAGGACCGTTCTGAGAACATTTCTCTAGCGATAACAAGATAGACTTTAGTGATAGCGATAAGTTTCCTCGACCCGTCGTTTGGAAATAGGTTCGACTAAATTCTTGATCTAGTCGTCCTCATTGCCTTATCTTTGTGTAATTCAAGGTAGAAGGCAAGAGATTAAGCTGTGGGAAAAGTCATTGTTCCGTGGTAGCAGGAAATTCTCTCAGAATCCCTCTTAGCTATCGCTTTGTTTGAGATCCTTTGGATGAGCCATGCTTTGGTTCTATCAAAAATCTCAAGCTATTTTAAAGCAGGTAAAGGGGGATCGCCTTCGTAGACGGTCTGTCTTATCCCTAACTCCACTTTTGTCCCGTTACTTGTGAGGGTTTTTCGATAAGGAACTTTGTTTACCGTTTAAAAATGATTGCTGCTCTTGTTTGGGCCCATTTTTTCGCTGCTTCCGATAAAATTGCCAGATATTAAGCCGATAGATGAGTAAATATATTTGTTTTTTTTTTCAGGTAACTGCAGCTATTGATGACATGAACAATTTGGTGTTAGTACTTCTTATTCGAGTCATCCATCTGACTTTTTCACAATCTCCAGAATGCCCAAATTCCAGGGCTCCTTCTCAACTAGGTAACTCGGGTTTTTGCTCTACTTACAAAGTCGGCCTTTTGATATGTCCTCTCTCGGCTTGCAATCGCCATAGCAGTGTCCAGGGGAGCCGAACTGGCGACCAAGCCAACGTGGACGCAAAACTCAAGTCCTCACTGACTTCTCATTGAGTGAAGGGTACGACGATGTAAGAGTAGCACAATGCAGTGAAAGTTATAGTAAGTCTGGGGGCACTTAAAATAGGAAGTCTTAAAGTTGAACAAAGGACACGTGAGTATTAACCTTCGCCAATCCTTCAATCCTCGTGGCCTTTGTGGATATTCATAAAAGTGAATCGGACAAAACTATCTTTTTCAGTTACTCAGCATCAAATAAGGCTTGACCCATATAACTGATTTTTCCCACATCACAAAAAATCAGCTCAAAGGACAAGTTTTTGTCATTATTTTGAAAACTGGTCCCAATAGAGACTAAATACCATGTTCAAGGTATGGTTTACGCGGGGAGAAATCCCAGTATATCTCCTGTTTACCGGGGATTTGGCTAATCTTTTCATGTGCCGTTACAATTAGGCTATTATAATACCATGAAAAAACAAGGATCATATCCGTACACAAAATGGAAAAGAAAAGGGAAATGAACTGTCGGGAAATAATCATGAATCACTGGGTCACCATCGTAGAGCCCTCAGAACCGGTCATATACCAAGCTTCAGAAGAGACGAGTTGCAAGATCAATCCAGCTCTCTTCTCTCAGCCAGATGACATCAAACCTGCGAATTCATTTGGTTCTTCCTGTGAAGGGGAAAGTTTTACTCATTGTCCTGAGGTTACGGTACTTCTCATGAATATCGAGCTCCAATCGATGCACATCATTGAGGCTTCCTTTTTATCTCGCAGAAACAACACAAGGTTTGGAGGTCTGGAGTTTGAGCTGTCGTACTGGTCATAAGTCCTCTTTTGGCCATATCCACATGAGTAGAAATTAGCCCAGGGTAAGAGGTTCTATAGGGAGAAAATGGAGTGGTGACATGCGATACAATACCATATGTTCATGGGCCGGAGAGTCTGCGTGGCAACCAGCTTAAAATACTAGTTCGTTCGGGCCTTCCCTCCCACCTCTACGGATCAGTTTATCGGTATCAGACATCTAGAGAGACGGAAATTCTGATACCGATTAACCGATCCGCCTTTACATGAATATAAGTATACATTCAATAATGAAGAACGATTCGATTATTTAATAACGGATAGAGGTAGAAGAATATCGGATGTATGCCAATCACTTAGGTTCTACTAAGGACCTCCTACACATAGTGACCCAGTGACCTAACTTCCCTGATTTTTGTAGGCATTTGACTCTCCATATGGCAACTCCCACAAACATATAGAAACCCTTCACCTTTTACAAGGCATCCAGGAAATAATACATATAAACCAGATGTAATAGTAAACTGTACTTCAGCTGCTGTCACGGTATGGACTCGTGAATCAAACGGCTCCTTGATATATCGGATCTCAGACGAAGATCTCGCCGATGAAGGCTACCGAAGGTAACCTCCCAGGCTTGCAGTGAACTTGACTTTTAGAACTCCCTCAATTTGAAGAAGGCTTCTATTCAGAGGTTTGGTTGACCGCGAAGACATTGTCGTCTTACTGGCAAGATCCCCCGGTAGCTGTACACTCGGTCCCTGCACACTTCAACTCAGTACAAATGTTAGAAAAAGTGACGGTAAGCTGCTAAGAATTTTGGAAAAAATTCATACATTTTGGAGTAGTAGTACTATCACACATTCACACGAAAATGGTCACGGGCTCGAATCTCGGTCCGATATTCATCTATACCAACCAAACTTTCCATCCGTCAGAGTTATGAGGTACCGGATTCGTCTGAGAGAATAGAGGCACAGACTTGTACATCGGTTGACCACCGCAAGTCATTGTATAGGCCACACACGCATTCATTACGCCACTGCGATTCTGAATGGAAGTCGAATGTGGGGCGCATCCATCCCTCAAACGAGTTTTTATTGACGCCCAAAAACTTCCTCCTTCACATTCATAAGTAAAAGCCTACTCTGATACTCAGTATGCCTTCCATTCCGTCCCTACTTCAGGTGCCATCGTCCACCAAGAAAATGTTATCGGCGTTCCCGAAGGATTCACCGACATCCACAGCGATTTCTATTGCGTTCGACGATTTGGAGACTGCGGAGCCGAACGACCAGTATTCCGATTCGTACGGGGATTCGGCTCCTCACTTGGTATAGTCCTCATTTCAGGCAACCATTTTTCTCAGTCTATCATATCATTCCAGCCTACGCATACTCCCTGGATCCTACTGCATCGTTTCCTGGCTATACTCGTGAAGGAAAGATCCTCTGCTATGGATGGTCGGACAATGGATCCGTGGTGCATCCGTTATCGGCAGAGAAGACTTGTCTACCCATCAATGCAATAGCGAATGGCAGGGTTTGTTGGCAGAATTTCTCAGCTTTTCTTCCTCTGATGGTTGCGATTGGCCCTCAGATTCACTGATTTAGATCACCTACTCATCACCTCCATCCACCATCTATTCCATAGGGACAACGGCGACACTCGTGTGTGACCCTGGTTATCTGGGTGGTGGACAAAGTGCAGTACTTTGTGTCAAAACAGGATGGTATCCGTCTACTGGTCTTGGTTACTGTGTGAAACGAAATGGTAAGTCATCGGGTATAAGAAGGAATAAGGTATGGAGAGAGGAAAAGTTGAAGGTGGGTGAGGAAGAGAGAAGGGTGGAAGGTCTCCCAGAGGAATAGGGATGGGGAAAAGGCGAAAATTTGTTTCAGAGGGTAAGGAGGTTAGAAACGATGAGGAGATGACAAAAGAAATAAGAGGGAAATGAGAGGGACCGTTAGAAATGTTCCCAGAACAAAAAACAGTGAGAATGAAGGAAAGGATATTTGCTGGAGTAGCTGATTGTAAGTGAAGGAGAAAAGGAAACATTCAGCTGTTATAACTAATCGAAAAGTGAGGTAAAGAAAGTGAAAAAGCCATCCATGGCTGATTAGAAGAAAAATAAGGAAAAATAAATGCGAAGGCTAGATGAAGATTGTCACGACTTCGCTTTCAGATTCTGTCGTCAACAGTGGATCGGCAACAGCGGTATCGTCGGCATCACAAGAATGCGCTGCTCTAGGAGGGATACCTGATGGGCAACTCATCTACAGTACCCTAGCTATTGGAGGTGATTATCTTGGCTTTGATTTACGCAACGAAACTTCATCCACGTCGTGGAAGTTCCAGTTACTGTTTGAAAATAAGGAAAGGGTGTAAGTTACAGCCGGGCAATCCTGTCCGGAGGGCAATCCTGTCCCTGATACGGTCTCAGTAGACGAAGAAGAATTGCCACGGCGTCAAAATAGAGGAAGACCTGGGTTAGACTGTTGGGGTTGGTTTGATTAATAGATGGATGTCGTTTTGCGCTCCTGTTTATACACCTCCCTCTCCTTTCGTTCACAATATTTAGCTACCAGTGTCTCGTTTCATGTGTATTTTTTGCACCAAGGAAAGGGGTAGGTGGCGGAACATGCTGGAACGGGATCGATTTACGCCAAGAAATCTATTCTTTCAAGTTGAATAATGTTGAGGTATTCCACGCAAATGAAATAAACCCAAAAATTTCAGGACGATTTCTACAAGGCACTCATGTGACAGTGGTTTGTAATCTCGGATTCAACGTATTCGGCACGATTGACGCCATTTGTATCAGTGGCCGATGGAGTCGAAAATTGGGCATTTGTCAATCGAACTTTCGACCAAAATGTCCTCCGCTCGATGTGAAGTTCCCAGGCAGGGTAAGTAAGGTTTCCGTCATTTGAATATTTAATCTATCATTGGGACCACGCTCTTGGAAATTAATAATTCAAAGGATAGATAACAACTTTCTACTCATGGCACCTTTTTGACAGCTTGATCGCTTGCGAAATGTGAATGATGTGAATGGTAGGGAATTTCCGTCTCGCCCACGGTAACATGCCAAAAATTTCAATCTCAGTTGACAATTTCAAGGTTAAAAGTCTTGAGTTTCCTCCTGGCTGGTCAGCTCATACAGGAAGCGCAAAATCGAATGAGAGTTTCAAGTGATTTTAGTATAAACCTACAGGGTTGCTGAAGGCCCTGAGATTGAGATTTTATTTTGCCGTACTGATTTTGCTGCAGCGCAACGGGAAGACAGGAAAGCAGAGTTACTATAAGGGACCAGGTTTGTGTCCAGGAGGGCAAAGGGCAAAAGGAATCAGGCGCGTCCACTTTTTGGTACTCCGCTGGCCAGTGGAGCTAAAGGTGCTTACTATATTCTTCAAAGCGCATATCCTAAACACGGCCTCCTGAGCGGAGGTGGTGCAGTGTCAAGTGGTATGTTCACAGTCACCTTCACTGGTTCGAATCCCGGCTCGATGAGCGCCTAGGCCAACCGAGCCTTTCACTCTTCCGGATTCGTTTAAATGATATTTCTGGGAGGATAAAAGCACCGACTTGTACATCGCTTGGCCACCGCCAGTCATTGTATGTGTATAGAGTTCAAAACACACTTCGATTCTGAAGGGGAGTCAAATGAGGGGCGTCCCAAAAGCTGGATCGAATAATCTGAACGGCATTACCTTCTACTCTATTTGGTGATTTTCAACTCATCTTTAGAGAGATTTTATTGGCGTAGGATGCAGTACATAGCAGAAAACATAACGGTTTCAGGTCATCTACAATTCTTTGGCACCGTATATGCCATCTGCAACAGCCACTCTCACCTGTGACCTGGGACTTTCCGTCGCTGGTGTATCCACCTTAACTTGCACGGAAGATGGTTGGTCACCAAGTGGAGGATTCGGCGAGTGCCGAACGGTGAGTTAGCTCACAGTAGCTGCTTGGTATTCGGAATCAATCCATAATATTAATTACTGGGATTAACAACCAACGAAAACAATGACTCCCAAACACCTGAAAACGGAAAACGAGTAAATATTACGGATATCCAGCATTCTCGTAATATTGACGGCATCTAAAAGGTGGTACTTCAAGTAGTGAAGCCGTGACTTGTACAAGATTACCATGACGAAAAGCGGCATGAGCGGGTATTCGTGCGAGTTTTCAGTCGGTGCAATCGCGTAAAGAGCTGACTATATCAAGCCAGACCTGAACGGAACTGTCTTCCACTGCTGCTATGGGTCACGACAAGTTGTTTAAACTTCCTACATGGGTTCCCTTGAGAGTGATGCAGCGTCTACAGAGCCTTCGAACCTCGTCCGCCTCTGCTGTGATATACCGCCGATACAATCTTTGAACCCTTAGAGCTCTTTATCCGGACCGTTTTCCGATCTGAAAGTGCCACATATGGTATACAGCGGGGCCACAGGCTCATCCTGCAGGGAGTTTCCAGACTTATTTTTTTTATCGTGGGTTATGCCTTCGGAAAATTTTCAAGAAGAGCAGCTATGGATTCATTATTCCCTAGAGTGACCTGGTGTCAGTTTCTCGAAGCCAGCAACATGGAATTTCTCTGCGAAAATTGGTATACAAAGTGTAAGAGCTACCCTCCTTAGATGCATCCGATCGTGGAAATACTCTTGTGAACGGGAAAGCAAAAAAAAACAGTCCTGAACTGAATTCGAGCCCCATCTCTGCGAAATTAATTGGATATTCTCTGAATACCTGAAATTTCAGAGCTATCGAAATATCGAACACATTTGGCACCAGTTTTGCCCTTGTTCATTCGGAAGATCCTAGCCAAATCTTCTTCTAACGTTCCTACTGGCTTCTTTTCTCCCTTATTAAACTTCATTGTTTCAGATTACTAGAAGAAAGCGACAGGTTTGTGAAAGTCTCCTTCTCCAAAATAACCCTGTACTCATATAATATCTTTGTTTCATTAACCTATAACTTTATGCCGCTTGGGAAACCTAACCCTAATGGAAGCTGTACTATCTGCTAACCTAACTGAACAGTTATCCCTCGGATAATCGCTTTTGTCGTTTTTAGGCACAGACAGGATTGAATTGTTCGGCTCTTGATAGACCAAGCAGCACGATAATGTACGTCCAGGCCAACACCTCTATTCCTTATTCGACTGACACTACGGCGTTCCTTATGTGTAACATCGGCTTCACATCTCAAGGATCAACGTCATCGTTGTGCCAAAATGGCATTTGGACGCCTCCGTTGGGTAAGTGCGATCGAGTACGGGGCAGGGCAGGGTACCTCAATAAGGGCCACGTGTACAAACCCCTCTCGAAAGTTTTGATGCGTTCAGTACCCAAAACGATTTCTGAGGAAGGAACATTTTTCCTTCAAGTTGGAAATGTAATGGTAGAGAAGTATGCACTGGGAACGAGTAAAGAACACAGTGAAAACAATCAAAACTGTTTTACTTCTAACTTACTGTTAGAGGATCGACGTAAATCACCTACTTCACCTCCTAAAGTCCGTTCCCGGCCCTTTCCTTCCTTATTTCATTTTTAGTAACCTTTTGGTGACAAACAAACTTTTCAACTCGTTCCGATTTTGCAAGGTTGCTAGCTTTCAATCAGTTTTTCAAAAATTTGGTTTTCAATTTCAGCTTAGAAATCATTATTTTAAGGCACGTGCTTAAGTTCATCGCAGAATGGTTCGAGCAACTTGGTTACCGGACAGCAACCAGGTAAGTAAACCAAGTTATATTCTTTTTTCACATGCTCACATGCCGACTATGTTTGGGCGAGTTGGAAGGACGCTAGTTTCCACTAATGACTTGCCCCATTCGTCTTTTGGCAACTAAAATTTATCGTAGTCATGCCTTACTTTTGCTTCAACGGTAGACCCCATCTTCCGATAAGAAGGTCATTCCTACCGTAAAGGAAATGAAAAAATGGGAATCCAGTCTGAAATCAGAATCTGGAGGTCCTGAAGTGATCATTTCGGAAAAATAAACATTCGCTTTCTCCAAGAGAAGACTTCACATCAAAAAATAGTCCTGAGAACTCGCTTAAATTAGATCCAAGATCGAATCAGGTATCAAAAATAACTACTTATCCTTTGTTGTTCTTTCAGGAATGAATTCCGGCAATGCTGGAAGCACATGCATGGCCATTGCTGCACCATTAAACGGTTACGTCAACTATAGTCAAAACGCTAGCGGTGAGTCTTTTGTCGCCCTTCGTCTCATAGATGGAGATGGCAACCCTGGTAGCCATCTGGGGCGGATCCCAGACAACGATTCTTCTAAAAGCGAATGGCATGCGTTTTGCCCAGCTCTTGGCTCAATTGCAAGCATGAGCTGCCCCATGATCCTTCGTTTTTAGGAGGCATTTATCCTTCTGGTACGGTAGCATCACTTTCGTGCAATCTCGGCTATACAGTATCTGGATCAATGGCAAGCACTTGCTCAGGTGGAACTTGGATTCCATCCGTTTTAGGGACTTGTAACCCAGGTAAGCTTGCAGTCTCTAATGAGTGCCTCTCTTTCCAGGTATCCTCACGTGCCACTTTTAGGACTCAGCGGACTGGGTACAGTGATGGGAAGCAGTTCGCTTACGTGTACAAATCCTCCTACAGTTATGAATGGAGTCATTTCCTATAGTATGGGTACTGCGTCAGAGGTTAGTGAGTAGGACAGATATAGAAATGAAATCCAAACGAACTATCGAGTTAACAGATAGACAATAAAATACGATTCTGAAAAGAAGTAAGTGCGAGGCGCATCCTTCGGATGACTTCATCTTTCACCTTCTATTATACTTTCGTTTTCGAGCGAAAGGTCAATTGTTTGAAAGGAATGGATATCAGTAGTATAGTTACTATTCAGATAACCAAGCAGTCGGGCACTGTAGCTACACTCACGTGCAATATGGGCTTTACATCAACCGGATCACCGACGTCAATCTGTCAAAACGGTGCCTTCACGCCTACACTGGGCACGTGTATTCCAATAGCTGGAGGTCCTGCTGAAGTCGTTTACCAATGTTTCTAGATGTCTTCTTTCGAAAAATCCTAGAGAGAGATTCTGATTCGAGATAAGGCATCAGTAGCAATAAGTAAAGAGTTTGGAAAGATTCAGCGCCGATATTATTCCTAGATGGAGGAACTTGTAGGTAGCGTAGCTCCTCTAGTCAAGGTGATGGTGTAATCCGGCTAAGGTCGAAGGTGAGGAGGGTTGGTAGCCGTAATGACCTGTTTGGTCTGATTTTTCTTTTGGCTAAAAAAGCTGTCAAGACTTTTGTTTTGCTGGAGATCGGAAGGACATAAACGGTACGGTAATGATCTTGTTCTTTGCCTTTCTACAATCTATTTTTTCAGATTTGTATTGTTTTTATTACCTAATGACTGAGTTGGCTAAATTCTAACCGCGTTGGTCAGTTTTGTCCAGTGATAACTACTGAACCATGTCCGTCAGTATGATTAACTATGCTTGACTAACCCTAACAAAGCTGCTCCTTAGTCTGCTCTTACTTATCGATACATCCTTTCAGGTACCGGCGGTGTCGGTGGTATCGTTGGTACCACTTCACAAACATGCCCACCTTTGTTCCCACCATTTGGCGGTACTCTAAACTATTCCAACGGATCTAATTTTGGCCCCTTCAATGCAGGAACTACCGTAACACTTCGCTGTAACAACGGAATCCCAACTGGTAGGCTTTTTAGCATTCGGCCACATTATTTGTCATCTATTTTGGTGGATTCAGGAACTTCTGTCAGCACATGTATGAATGGGCAATGGTCACCGCCTACACTTGGAACATGCTCTCTGGATGGAGGTGGGTAGCTGAATAAACACTTCCTCCAAGGGTTCAACAGAAGAGTAGGAGACGATCAGAATGTCGGTAGTTCTGCATGAAAGAGAAAAGAAGTCAAGAAAACGTCTAGCCTTCATCTCGTGCGTTCTCGAACAGGGTCTAGAATCTCGCCGAAATCCCGATTTTTGATGTATAAGAACTTCAAAAGTTCGAAATCTCCTTACCTGGGAACCAACGAGACCCCTTGATAACCAACGATTTTAAGAACGCAAACCGATTGTTGAATTTTCAGGCACCGGCACTGGCACTGGGACAAGTGTCACATGCCCAGCGTTGGTCGCACCAGTAGGAGGAACGCTCTCATATTCTCAGGGTGGAACTACCGGACCATTCCCATCCGGCTCAACAGTATCGCTTATGTGCAGTTCAGGGTTTCCAACAGGTATCTGTAGGGTCTTCTTGGATCATAATGTCAAACAAGGCGGTGATTCACGTGCAGATGCTGGCGAAGGTCGAGAATTGATAGTGAGTAGGCGGGGTGAGCACAAAAATGGGCGGAACTGAAACCAAAAGAACCCTGTCCAAGATTTTAGAGAGTCGCCCAAGAGTGGCAAATCCATCCATCTTCTATCTTTTCTGGGTGAATATGAGTTCCAGTACTTCGCGAAAGCATGAACCCTGGCGTGTACTTCATCAACAGACCGAGGGTCTTTGTCTAGAGCAAGTGCCTACCAGAAACAATAGGAGCTACTAGTTTGTGGACAGATTTGGCGACCATAAAAAAATAAGCGTGGACGTTGGCAGCTTTCACTGATGAACCTCCCTGATGGGGGTTGTTGCTAGGTAAAGGGAGTCATCCGACCCATAATATTGACACGATAAAGCATCGTACCACGAAAAGTGGCCAGCCTGTAGATGTCCTCGTAGAAGACGACTCCCATACTTTTTAACATTTAAGTGAGCTCGATCGGGAGTGTACTGCTTGTGAGACAATATATTTAGTGCACATTCACTAACTGAAAATCATATTTCAAATTTATATCACCCACATCCCATACAGCCTCTTTCCTCAACTACCTCCCTAGTTACAAAATGCCTTTCTCTAGTGGCTTAATAGACTGCCACTGTTGCTTGCGCAAAGCGGTGATGCCATCTTGATGATCCTCTCTCGAAGGAGGTGAGAGTCTGAAAGTAGAAGTTAGGGTGGTCAGCTTTCAAGCTTCCGTTTTCCACATACTCCATCCTGAGTAGAATGTTATGGAGTTTCCTGGGAAAGTAGTAAGCAAAAGTGAAGGGCCTGATCTCTTTTATGAATGCAAAATGCCAATAAAATCGAATTTCTCTGTTGAGGCTGCACTGAATGCTTCAGTCCCTTTTAGGCATTTCGTTTGCATTCTGTACGAATGGTCAGTGGAATCCACCAACACTAGGCACTTGTTCCACTACCGGAACAGGAGGTATGTGATCGAAATTTTCGGGTCGGGAAGGAGTCGGGACATACTTGACTATTATTTGCTTCTTCACTTTTTTATTGAATATTTGAAAATAATTGCAAATTTTAGGTACTGGCAATACTGGAACTGGGAGTGGCCTAACTTGCTTTGCAATGTTCCCTCCATTCGGAGGAACACTACAGTACTCCACTGGTGGGAATACAGGGCCATATCCAGCCGGTTCAACTGTGACTCTTATGTGCAATAATGGATTCCCTACAGGTGCGTGCTCCAAAGCTTGAAAAAAGGTGGCGGATTTACTCTGACCATCGGTTATCAGGCGGAGGATGCTACACGTAATGTGTGCCCGTGTAGCCAGAGCCAGCGTATGCTTTGAAAAACAGAAGAGATACTCGTTTATGGAAGAGAGGGTGGGAATATTCTGAAGATAAAAAGTGAAATTTTTGAGACCAGATCATCTTCCCATTTTCCTCATTACTTTCGTCGCTGAGGACTTCCTCAATTCTCTCTTCACTTGTGGAGTACTTAACTATGCTGTCATTCCACCCTCGTCAGTTTGTCGTCCTCTCAACTCGAAACGGAGTTCATTTCTTACTGGAGTGATATAAACCGTTATAACTGGCATAAAACAAGCAACCCGAACGAGCAAAGCAATTGAAAGAAAAAGACTTTTCGGCAGGGGGGGGGGGGAAGGACAGGTGCCTTTTTGTCGCCCACGAGAGCGTTGAGTACCCGAAACTATCACAACTCCCTTGACGACCGTCATGAAGACCTTGCCAGGTTCATTTCAGGCAGAACCTATCTACCAGCAAAGCTCGGTCAGAAGGTGGTGATCACCCGCCTTTTGCTGAGACGAAGTTTCTACTTTCCGATCTCTCAGTTTTTTCCTTTTCTGGTACTGGCACTGACCTTAGGTGCCCTGCCATAATGACATCGGAGTAACGTTTACGTACCCAAGGATACGGAGTTACTCCGAACCAGCACATCTGTAACGCTTTCGTTCCCTTCGGGTGTCCAATATAAAGTTCCTACGGGGAGGCACCTTGCACAGTTTGTTTTAAGATGTGGAACATCTGCGAAGGCGATGGACCATCAAAAAGTGAGATCATATAGTAGGCTTACTGACTTTTACAGGTCCTTCAACTGCTTCATGTACGAACGGCCAATGGAGTCCTACCACTTTGGGCTCGTGTTCAACGACGGGTACCGGAGGCGTAGGAGGCACTGGAGGCATCGGAGGCGTAGGAGGCACTGGAGGCATCGGAGGTCAGCGATGCTGTTTTAATTATCATTCTTTCGACGTCGAGACACTTTTCACTCGAACCCAATTGAAGTACATACATTTTTTCAGGGCAAACATGCCCACCTATAACGACTCCAATCGGAGCCACTGTGAGCTATTCTACTGGAAACATGCTTGGTCCTTTTAACTCGGGAGTCACTGCAACGATGAACTGCATGAGCGGCTCACCATTGGGTAAGGATTGCCTAATGGCCTCTACTTCTACAGATGAGTAGCAACTTCTAGGAGCAACGTCATCAACCTGCTCGAATGGTCAATGGTTCCCACCATCCCTTGGGACTTGCAATTCAAGCATGATCGGTGGAGCCGTAGGTAGCAGTCCTGGTGGGTTCTGTAACTGAAGATTCCTCTAGTAGTCTAACTCACAGAGGAGCATCAGCTTAGCTTGCTGAACGGGACGGTCTTACGGAGCCTGTGATACGATAGTTACGCGGTGTAGCAGCAAAAGCTGAGTAGACGTTCTCGAAAAACCCACTAAAAACGTAGCCTGGCAGCAATTTTGCTTACTGTCAGTGTTATTAGGAAGCTTCCAGGTTTTTAGGGGTAGTCTTCACTTTGTGTTTAGAAATGAAGGCATACGCCGTCATTTAGGAACTACCTGCCCTGCGCTGGCTCCGCCTATGGGTGGTACAATCTCGTTCTCGAACGGTTCAATGGGAACACCCGCTACGACAGGAACTATTGCTACCCTGACTTGCCTCAGTGGTACAGTTTCAGGTTGGTTTTCTGTTCATACCCTATTCTTCCTTGTTTCCCTTGCACGATAGCTGAGGAGTGGGGTCGCCGAACTGGAAAAGTAGTACCAAGTAGCCATTACCAGACCATCCTTTTAGGTTCGTCCAGCGTTCTTTGTTCAAACGGTGCATGGACTCCTCCTACGTTGGGCACATGTAATAGTGGGACGGGATTAGGTGGTACAACAGGAACTGGAACTACCAACTTAATAGGTACCAACCCAACAGGAGGAGTTACTATCTTGCATACTGTTTTCAAGTATTACTAGCATGGCTTGATTTGACAAAAATCGTGTTCATACTAAGAGAGTTCAGCAACCACTTGCCCTGCGATGACGACACCAGTTGGAGCGTCACTGACCTATTCGAATCAGGGTCTTTTCCCACCTTTCCCATCTGGAACAACGGTTTCAGCAAGATGTCTCAGTGGAAGTGCAATGACAGGTTTGTCGGGGCATTAAACGTTTTTTTTCTCGGTGAAAAACAATTTTTCATTGGACCAGTTTAATTACAACAAAAGTAACCAGTTTCTTACTAATTGTGGTTCAGTATTGGAAATCCATCGGAAGTTTAACCTAAGTTTCTATAAGCATGCTCGAAGTACCAGTTAGCAATATATCAACTTAGGAATGAGCACGTCTACATGTATGAATGGCGTTTGGACTCCAGCAACACTGGGAACATGCGGAACAACGACTGGTGGCTTAGGTGGCACAACGGGAACTGGAACAGGTACGATGATTATTAGAATCTTCATCACGTACTGAGCGTCCGATTTCAGGAACATGCCCTACTACTCAAGCAATTGGCGGTACGATAGACTACAGTGACAATGATTTCTCTATAAATCACTCGCCTGGTTCTACTGCTACTCTTCTTTGTACCAGTGGAACGCCCTTGGGTGAGTTTTTTGGATGTTCTACCAGAGTTCTTGAAGCGTCTTCCTTCTGCAGTAGACGTAGGCCTCTACGGAGTCACCGCAGGAGGTTGCATTCCCCTCTGATGTCTTGATCCCTTCAATTACTTTATTTCTGCTCCGTCTGATGAAATCTTCTCACTTAAATCTCCTGCTGGGCAATAAAGATGAATAAAAATGAAAAATCGCACTAAGAAAACCAGGTAGGCGGCATCAATGGCTGCTCCCAGGTTCCGCTATATCGACCTGCATGAATGGGCAATGGACGCCTCCACTTGGAAGCTGTTCAACAGCAGCAAATACTTCGACTTCGGGGTTTGTATGTTACTTCCCACCGTTTTCTCCGTTCGGTTCCACGCTCGCCTATTCAAGTGGTGGAAACACATTTGGACCCTGGAATGCAGGTAGGCATCCGTTTTCCCGAGGGTGCTCATCTTGCTGCACCTTTGATGTCTCGCAATCGCTTCTTTCAGGAACAACAGTCACGATGACTTGTCCGTCGGGACAGACTCCGATAGGTTCGTCTACAAGCACGTGCAGTAATGGTGTATGGACAACCCTTGGGTCATGTTCATCGACGGGAGGTAATCCGATTCGATCCGATCTGGTCATTTACGCTTTCTCGTTCACGCTTGCATGGTTCAGTTCCTATGTGTGCATGTTTCTGTTTGCATTTTTTAAATACCTTACAGGATCGACCTTTTCGTTTTTATCCGGCTTCTCCTGCTTTTTCGGACTGATCGAACCGTTGGACGGTTCCATCACCTATAGCGATCCGACTCCACCGTATGCGCCAGGATCAACGGCAACGCTGATCTGTGATCCTGGCTTCACTGCAAAAGGGCCCATCACAGCCAATTGCACTGATGGCTCATTTACACCGATTGGCACATGTAGCAAAACATGATATGATATGATTAGTTGAGCCCAGTCTGATACCTCGTTGTTCGTGTATTCACAGCTCAGTGCAGTTTTCTCTTTATCCCGGTGTGATTTTGGAGCATGTACTATGTTCCCCATGTTGAACATGTAATATAAAAAGCAATCTTTTCACTTTTTTCAAAAATCGCCACACGTTGTTGTCTTGTTGTCTGTTCGTTGCACCACAACCACCGTTCATGTCGAAGATGTCACAAGCATGCCACAATGAGCGTCAAACCGCTACGCATCAAGGAGCATGAACGACACTTTTCTTTCCCGACTCTACAAATGCCTTTCTGAGTGGGTGCTCTAGATAGATTCCATGATTCAAAAGACTTCGCGCTACAGTAATTCTGTTGGCCGCGGTGAAGCTCTTCCACTCAATCACGGCGTATCCCCTGTAAAAACCGTTTTTTATTGCATAATATAGGAGACAGATTTCTTTGCCGTCTGGCTTCTCTTCTATTTCGCATTGTGTGGCTACTGTATCACTAATTCTTAGACTGCGAAATCTGTCTGGGCGCGATCATTACAATCGCCCCGTAGAACTTATGCTGTCTCTGGGGGTGTTTCAAGAGGCCTATCGGCGGCAATATGGGCAACCAGAAAATCCACGCCTATTCTTTCTTGTCTACGTTCCCTTCCCAAAACAGCGTTCGAGTGTATTATTTGTTCAAAAATGCCGAGACCGCCGAAGAATTTGCTATGATAACTTTTAAGTGCTATCCTTACTTTATATAAAGCGCTCGCGTCTGTCTGTCCGTCCGTCTGTCCGTCTGTCTGTCTGTCTGTTTGTACGCAAATTCATAACTCCTGTCTCCGTGGACCTAGGACGTTCAAATTTGGTAGGAGCATAGGTGGTAGGATGGGAACACATATGGTGGGTTGTCGGGCCGGACCACGCCCGCAGAGGGCGGGGTTTGTGCGAACGAAATATTGCGGCGGAAAATCACAACTCTGTCCCCGTGGGCCTAGGACGTTCAAATTTGGAATTCTCAGTGGAATTAGAAAATTCGAATTCGGTAAGAGTGCCCGAGGCAGGGTGGGAACAATAGTGGTGGGTGGCAGGGTCGGGGCACAAAGGGCGAGGCTGGCGCCAAAATTGTCAATTTGGTTCTAGGGCAGGAGTATAGGCGGCGGGATGGGAACACTTATAGTGGGTAGTAGGGCCGTACTCCGTCCACTGGGAGGCGGAGTTTGTGCGAAATAAATGCCTGAGCGAAAATCCATAACTCCCGATCCCGTGAAATTGGAGAGCAAAATCAGTAAGAGTAGAGGAGGCCATATAGAACAAGATTCAATCACCAGTCGAATCCTAGCGCCTTTGTTATTTACGAGCTAGCTTCGTTCGTTTGTTTCATTCGACAGGAAGGGTAAGTGCACTGATAGGGACAGATAATGAAGTTTCGTTCACTTCTTGCTTACGACCGCTACCCAGCGAAGTTTGCGATTCAATGAAGGATCACGGTTCCTCTCTGCTTTGATATCCTTCATGGCAGAATTTATTCGACCGCTAATAATCTTGGATTCACATTTAGTGATGTAGAGAAAAGGAGCTACATTCATAAAGACATTTGATAATGGTATTAATCTGACTCGACAACATTTGTGAGTACCATTCAAGGCTTTGAATGCCTACCAGTTTAATCTTTAATGGGTCATTATTTTTAACATCATAGCGACAGATCGAGACAGACAGATTCTAATCAAAGGCGTAGCCATGGGCACATTTAGAGTATCAGTTGCATGCCCTATTGTTACTCTATCGAGCTTCATGTTCCGAAAAGCATCATTCAGTGTTTAGCAAAGGAGTGTGCCGTTTGCTGTTTATCACAACTCTATCATAAGAAGGAGGGAAGAAGAGTGCGAATGTCAAGTGAGCGCGGTGAAGGAAACAGTTATCTAATGGGAAGTGAACCTATACTGTTCCTATTGGTCCTTTAACAAGTCGTAGGTGAGCGATAGTGGGCATGTGGTGCGCGCATTAGCGTGCGTAGCCCAACTGGTTTATTATAGGCTATTGTAAGTTTCCATATCTACATGCTACTTTTTATACCACTTTCTGAACAGGTTCGTCAGTAAGCTTTTTCATTTCGGTTTCAGGGCTTTCATGTAGTCGAACAGCAGAGAGTAGAAGATTTATGTGAACAGTACACGCAGACACCTTGTGTGAGATCCGAAAGGTGCTGCACGAATGTGTTGTTAACATGGTGTAAGGCCCCCAAGATCACATAGAGGCCGCATGGTCCGCGGAGCGAGACTAAATGCACGGTCGGAGCTAGCTACGTAACGAGAACTATTAGTGTTAGTGCCATGCGCTCATACAACTAGTAGTACATGAAAGAGCTCTTTTCGCTCTACAATTTTTTTGCAATCGCTTTATTTATGATCCAATAATTCACATTTTCTAGTTGGTGGGACAGTTTTTTAGGTTCTCATCATTGTCGTAGGTAAGTAATGCCATTCTGTAAGATAACAAGCGCGAAGTGATAATCTTTGGATGGAAGAATTAGAGAGCTGGGCGAATGCGTTAGAATTTCTCAAACGCATTCCTGTAGGAAGGCCTCGACACTATCGTAAAGATAGGCCCAGCATTGTCATGCAGATGAACTACTTAGCCCTGTCGGACCAGAGGCAGCTCCGTGGAAGTTTCATACGCAAGGCCTCAAACCAACTTGAAGCTCCCCAGTTTTTAGTGTAGAGCAGGTTCTATATTTGATCTTTGAAGTCGCAAGCAGTACTTCTCTCCCCTGCTCTTGTACAGTGTAAGCGGCTTGCAAAGAAAGAATTGCTGATGCTGAGTTTTATACAGTTGTAAGAGAATAGCGTGACGTGATGAGAAGTTCCTAAGGGTTCGCGACTGGTTTGTTGTTAGGCCACGTTTCAGTCGCATAACACATACTGAGTACTGAGGCGTTGAATATCGATGCCTTGCAGTTGAGATCGCTAGCGGCTTGTGACTTGACGGATTGAACCGAAACCTGCCCACATCTTGTCCGATTTAGTTCTGGTGCGATATTGCTCATGATGTTTAGCGTTCTTTCCAGATACACGTAGGACTCAACTCTTTGCAGAACTTCCCTCTAATTTTCTGTTCCCGTATCGCGCCACGTGTTCACCATCAGTTGCGAATTGGACATATTAATCACCAAGCACATCCGCTGGCTTACCGCACTGGGTTCGTTAACCATCTTTTCCATTTCGACAGTGCTGCTAAGTATCAAAGCTATATCATCGGCAAAACGAAGGATACTGACGTTTCCGCCAAAGACGGGGCGTCCCCTTTCATCCCAGTCGAGGTTCAACATCACATACTGAGCGCGCGGTGGAAACCTTCAAAGATACGGTAACTCCTTTTCACACCCCTTTTCCAACTGTAATCTTCAGTTTTCGCTCGAACAACTGGATGAATGCTGATTGGATTGAAAGGCACTGTTCGAGCAGGTGGACGTAGCGGGATCAACTCCGGCTCGCACAACAGCATTCAAACAGCTTGACCCCCACACAGTCACACAGTTGAATATCTTCTTGTAATCCACGAAAGGAAGGCGCTTCTCTCAATAAGCTGAGCGGCTCTTTGGATTTTGTCTACGCACGAAAAGTTTTCCCTGAATCCGGTCTGCTCTACTGGCTGATATGAGTTCCAAGATGCGTTCCATGCGATTGAGCAGAATTTTCGTGAACGACTTGTATACCATCGAGAAGGGGCTGATGGGAATGTAGTCGGAGATTTCCCTCCGCTGACCTTTTTTGGATGGATAAGCGAGAATACAATGGTGCAAATATTAAAACCCTCCTTACCTTCTCCCACTGTGATCCTACTACCTTTGTCACCATCGTACGTGCGTATTACACTCGTATTACACTTATTGCACTTTGAAAATAAAGTACTGGTCATGAACACTACTAGAAATCACTGAGAATACAATATCAAAGAAACTCACCCGCTACGACTATTATCAGAAAGAGAAAACACAAAGGATTATTAAATTTATCTTGTTACATTAGCAAATGCGAAAAGAAACCTACGGGCAAGCTCCTTCATTACAAGGGGAATTCACCACCTGCTGCCTTCGGGGAAGGAGATGAGCACGGTGTCCGCGGACTTGTGACACACATTAACCGAGAGTGACTCCAAACTCCTTCGCTCATGGAGTTTCCTATGTGCTCGCTTCTTCCTCGAGCTGCAGTTAGACCTAGCTGCCCGGCAGCAGCTAGTAGCTCGCATCTTTTCTGCCATCTTCCTCGCACCGCAACCTCTCCTTCGTCTGTACAGTCCTTGAAGTGCAATGTTCCTGGCGCCTGCAATCCCTCCTGTAGACGAGGTCCGTCGACGAGGATGCGAGTTGACTATGCGCGAAGAGAAGAACCGACCGCGCGATACTTTGGCATGGAGCAGAAATGGCAAGGTGTTGTGTGCACACTCCGCTGCACTCAATGCCACATGGCAATCGATGCATGGCACGCAGCGTGATTGGTGGTGCTGTAGTGCGCGTCGATTAATACGTGCGCGGTGTAGTGAAGCCCTGGTGTTAAGAAGTCGTGTGCTTCACGACAGACGGTGTGAAACTCTGATAATGGATCTGTCAGATTGTTTGAGATCCTAGCTAGGTTCAGGACTTAGAACTGTTAGATTTGACCACTACGTGAGGTAGTGTTCGCATCAACCCCAAATGGCTCAGTTCGCTTCGAGATGATTCCTGGGATATCCTTCCCCGGAAAAATATTTCACTCGAAGAAATATTTCGAAATTATAGTAAATTGTTGATGTTCTCATAGCGCTTTTAAATAAATAAAGGGGCTGGTAAAGGTGAAAATGAGAGAGATCTAGCTAAGGGCCACCTGAAAAAGCGTTTTTACCCTGCTTGATTAGCTGGTCCTCACTCCTTGTCCTAAGCTCCTTCGAAACGTACATAAGCGATTGATCTCCCACGGTTCGCGTTTTGCTACATGCATTTTTTGTAATATGAGTATACTAAATTCTTA